GGGCGGTGTCGGCGGCGGTGGACAATGTTGAGATGTTTCCAAGGCGCGGAGGGCAAGCAGTATTCCAGCCAGGGTTCGGCCGGGACTCTTGGCGGCGACACACTAGATAGAGCTAGCTCAGGACTGAGAACAGCTGGACGACTGGAGTGGTGCTGCTGCTGCACTGCACTGGATGCGTCTGCCTCCTGATCGCTGATGACGATGCGCCGCGGTGGTCAACGCAACGCGCGACCCGTCACTTTGTCGCAGATGCTGAGGCCGATGCTGGCACTGGACTGGCACTGGCACTGCACGACCGTGCTGCCCGCCCGCGAAACAAGGGATGTCTCCGCCGCTGCGAGGCGTCAATAACGAGGTAAGCGACGCAAGCGTGCTGTACTACCGCGCGCGTTGCACGAGACCACCGCGCACCTCCATCGCTGCACCACCCGGCCCTCTCGCGCAGCGCATCCACGCGCTTTCGGTCTGGCGATGCGATGAGTCTCCCAGCGCCCTCGAGTTCGCATCGCATTGTCGCGTTGCCCTGTTCCTCCCCCAAGATCCTGGGTCCTTGTCTCTCAATGCGGTGTCACTCACCGCTCTTCATCCACGCTGTATATCTGCACACGCACCGCACTCCTCATAGCCCGCCATGTCGGTCCCTATTCCTCTAATACTCCCTCCGCCATTGCTGTCATCGATCCAACATGCCATCGCGAGCTGCCGTCTATTCCGCACAAACTCCACGTCCTTTCTACGGGCCCGCACGGCCTCCTAGAGTTGCCACCAAGCCGCAGGTCGACACCAGGCCAAGAGTGGCCCTGCTGCAGTTGCAGAAGCATCCGTACTTCGACGAGCAATACGCACTGCTTTTGCGCGAACTTTCTGCCCGCTTCCAGGTCGACGTGATCACCAACAGAACCCAAGCGAGCCATCTGTTCCGCAACGGCTGGCATTCAATCGTCCTCGCAACTGACCAGGCCCTCGCCGAGTCCAACGACTATGTGCTGCGAGATGAAGCGAGGGTCTTCGTCCAACGTGGTGGCACCCTGATCCTGTGCTGCCACTTCGCCGCTGCCGCCCCCAGGCTGGATGTCGAGAAGTTCTTCTCCTCCTTTGGCTTGTACTGGCGCAGTGGCGATTACCATCGCACGGAGCACGACCTCAACTACGCCATTGCTGGCGTCGACACAGGTGATCTCAAGCCACGCTACAGTCAACAAGCTGTCCACCTGCGGGATGTCGACCCAAGGCATGCCATGTATCTGCCAGCCGCCACCGCCTACGTTCAATCTTCTGTCTGCCCACCGTCACCCATTGAGGACAAGACACAGACACCCACTGCACTGGCTGCAGTCGGGCAAGGCAGACTTGGCTACCTAGGGGACGTGAACGTTGAAGAAGGCACGGTGCGCACGATGCTCACCCTCTGCGGTCAACAGTAGCATGCTGGTTATGCTCAGACACGGATCGATTCACATCACCATCATCATTATTATTTCGGAATGTCGGCATTGGGCTGGGTAAAATGGGAACATGTTTGTATTGCAAAGGCGGGACAGGGGTTCGATTAGATTTAGCGCAGTCCTCACGGACCTGTTGATATATATGATGAGCTCAACGAAGGAATATGTTACACTATTTGCACGTCTCTTTCTCAAAGCCGCACTTATGTGCCTTGACCCTGGTCGAATTTCCGCAAGCTGCAAATCACATCGCGCAGAGTCTCTGCAGTGGACACAAGACGCATGACGTTTTGTACAGCAACACAGAGAAAGCCCTCTCCATCAGTGTTGGGCGAAAGCGATTCCATTACTTGCCATTACTTTGTCAAGCTGTCTGCGGCAAAGAAGTCCATGCTGCCCAGATATTTGATGACCTGCAATGCGATCTTATCTTCATCTTGCTGTTCTCGCTCGAGCAGGCGTTGATGCAAACTCTTCTTGTGGCTGTGGTCGGGAGCGTCAAGCAGCGGTGCATAGGGATCTCTCCTTTGCGTAGTAAATGTTGCATCGTTCGACTTGTATCCGCCTCGTTTCGAGATCTCATGCTTGAAACGACAATCAGAGCCGTCTCTACAATATCCGCTCGCAGTAAAGAATCTGCACGGAATGGATGCTGTGTCGGAACGAGGCTGGCGCTTGATTGCAATCTCTTCTGGAGGCTCATCATCGCTGAGCTCTGCGTCGGACACCAGTGGAGAAGAGTTGGCTTTAGTTGGTATCGAGGAAGACTCGACTTCGACACCCGGGTCATGCGTAGGCTGCGGACCTGGTGTCTCGGCGGCCAGTACTCCCACTCTGTGAGTCGTCCGATTCCCTAGATTTGCGTAATGCAGCTTAGATGGGCTTGAAGCAGGCGGGACATTTGCCGAGCGTGCTGCGCTTGGGCTCTGCGGGAACTCAGTTCCGGCATCTTTGGAATCTGTGCCCGCAAGTAGATGCCCGTCGCTGTGTGATGTAGGAACGCCTTTAGCCACAGGAGGGTCATGAGCAGCGGTCGTAGTTGCTCTGCTGTTCGTGACGGAGGACCCCGCCATGGCCTCGTCCAGCTTCTCTTTGGCTCCTGTGAGTAGTCTCCCACGCTCCGCCCCGATTCTCCGCTTCTCTGCATATTTTTCAGTAATGCGGTCCTTGGTGGGGAAGTTCTTTCGTCTTGCAGTTCGCCATGCTAGCAGATCAGCGGCTGAGTTGAGTGTTTTCATCTCTCCATTGGCGTCATGAAAGGTAAGACCTGGCCCAAGACCTTTAGCCAAGATGGCTTCCTCGTCCGCCATCTCTTCCTCATCATCGCTTTCCGAGGAGTACAAGGGATCCACTTGCTGTGGCGTGAGCCCTAATATATTACTCTGTTTCTGAGCACCCCTTTTGGTGATATCATACTTCTCGGGTCTCGATGACGAAAGATTTGTCTCAGGAAGTATTGGTGCTCCGAAGCTGGGTATGCTCGGATTCGTTGGCTCGCCTGTGATCTCTCGCGTCTGGGATAAAGGGGACTGCTGTTGAAATGCGTCCAATTTTCGTTTACGGACTCCTGCCGTAGGAGTAGAACGTGAACCACAGCTGATTGACGAATTGTTCGGCTGAGCAGTGCTCGGATAAGAACCAGTATTGCGGCCTTGCTTGCCAGGTTGCTGCCAATTCGTCCGTCCGCGAGCTGCTACATTGCTATTGAATCCGTCGCCAAGGGGGTTTGCGGTGTTTGCAAATGCTGGGTTGATGTAGGATCCTGGGGGAATCATGTAAGGCGCTGCGGCTTGTGCGTCGATAGCATTGCCAGTCGAACTTCCGTTGATGGGATGATCTGGAAGCTGCGTCTGATCGAGAGCGAGAGGAGCCCCGGAAGACGCGAAGCGATGAGGCTGACCTCTCTGACGCTGTTGTTCATTACCACGCCCGTAGCCTCCCCTTCCTCTGCTGCCATGGTCATTTGTTCCACGGCCCCTACCCCGGCCTCTGCCTCTGGGTTCGGATTGGCCGCGTGGACCTACCTGATGTTGGTCTGGCCTACTAGAGGGCGGCGGTGGCGGCGGAGGGGGAAACTGAAACCCGCTCATCTTTCGCTCCGCTGCAACCGGGAATGGTCAATATGTGAAGGCAAGCTAAAGGATTTCATAGATGAAGGTCGAGTGCCAAGTTGCGTACTTCTTCATCATTGGCCTGATGCGCGAGCCGAGCCGCGCCCCGTGGTGAAGTGATGACTAAGTGTTCACATGAAAATGACCTGGCTTGAAACTGTTCGCAATAGGATACATGTAGACATCCCGCGCGCCGGAGCGTGCAGCGTACTATTCCTCACGGGGTCGAACAGAACAAAGTCAACTCACCATCATGTTCACTCTGGTACATATAAATAAGCTGCACTGCAGAGATCCTGATTTTGCAAAGCGTCCAGCTGACCGCAACAGATTACGCTTGCCGATGTTGTGCAAATACATCCGAACGAATTTCACAAGCCTAGCATCCGCGCCATTGAAGACTTCATCAATACGAAGTACGCAGACAAGGTCATCCACAAAGTCGGCTTGTGCATCGGTTTCCATTCACTCTTATCCGCCTCCGAAGGCCTGATAGGGCACGGGACCGGTATCGTCAACGTGAACGTTGACTTCCGACTCGTTGTTTTTCGCCCATTCAAGGGTGAGATCCTGCGAGCGACAATCACTCAGTCCAGTCCGCAAGGCATATACCTTTCGCTGGATTTCTACGAAGATCTGCTCGTTCCGCCAGAGACGTTATTCGAAGGATCTACGTGGGAGAAGGATGAGAATGGCACAATGGCCTTCGTGTGGCGGACCGAGGACGGTGAAGGAGGACAAAATGAATTCTTCTTCGACAGTGCAGAAAGTTGCATGGTTCGAATCGAAGAGGAGCAGTGGCATGACGCTTCACCGGATGCTTTGAGAAACTCTCAAGAAGAGGAAGAAAACACCAGCAGGATTCCCCCATATCTTGTTAGGGGAAGCATGATGCATTCAGGTCTGGGTCCGACATTGTGGTGGATGGGTGAAACTGGGGACGTTGGCGACGTCGCGATGAACGGCACCTGAACCGAAATCCCGAGTGCAGAATGAAGACGAGGTTTTGAGATGAAAGATTTGAGGGTTGCTTCCACTGGAGATGAGCGTGCATGGATTCGCGTGCAAACAACACCACTGGACGCGGCTATGGCGTGTGCGCTGCAGTGTAAGAGATGTGTTTGCAGGCGTATCAGCAACCGGCCTGGTGAAAAGATCCTCCAGGGTCGCAGAGTGCGTTGGCGCCAGCAGATGGCTGCACAAGACTGGCCGCAATCACTTCGCCAACACAGAGAGACAGTGTAGCCAACACCATCAAAGCAGTCGAAGGGGCTAAGCGGGGGCTAGGAGGTAGGAGCACGACTTGAAATCCCCCAAATGCCGGAACATGAGGAGTGAGCGGACAGTCGCGGAGTGAGCTTAATATGATTAGAATTGAACAGTAACCATATGCCATGTAGTCCCCATGTATGAGCCTCCGTGGAGTGAACAGAACAGAAGACTTGCATGAAGGTCGAATACCACATCAACCGTTTGGTCGTCGCGAGAAGTCGCGGGTCAAACAGTTGCGGCTACTCCCGACGCCGACCCTACTTCACCTCCACCATTGGGTCGCGAATCTGGCACCACATTACAGCCAACACCACGCACAATGCAGCCTATTAAACGGACGGCTGTACGCTCTGTGCGGCAGCAATTGCGCGCGCGCACAACTCAGCAAGGACAACGTCGCTTCGCTGGCGACCATCACGGACCGGAGCTCGTGTCTGAAGGACAAGCTGCCCACGACAAGCACCCCCCGAGCCACAACGAGTCCTTTGGCGTACGTCTTCACCGTCGTTTTGCGATAAGAAAAGATATGATGTGAAAGAGCTTGCGGGATAGGCACAGGAAGAATTGCAGGAGCGGCTGCTGACCATAATTCCAGGCGGGCTTCTTCATCGCTCTCGCAGCGCTACCAGTGTCATTGGCACTCTATAAGCTCACGGCGCAAGGCAGTAGCGAGCAGCCATACTTTACACGATTGATCCGGGACACATACGCAGACTACGCTGTGAAATGGGCCCAGCGCAATGATCTTCACACGCAAGCTATGCAGCAAGCAGCATCCGACCGAGCACTATTCCTCAACGAGCCAAACCAGCAGGCCAGGACAGTGGATTTGAAGTATCCTGAGTACGTTGTATCTAGCAGACATCTCACTTGACCGCAGAAGCTAACTCGGGCACCTTAGAATCGTGAACGCGAGTTCGCCATGGAATGTGCGCGCTGGCCATGGCAGTGCGAATCTAGATGAGCTGATTGCGAAATATGAGAAAGAAGCAGTGGAGGAGAATGAGAGGAAACTCCAGCAATTGAAGGAAAACAAAGTCCCTGTCGAACAACCAGTGGTCTATTTCAGGTAGTTGGACGCTACTTCTGCTACGACACCAGCCAGTCCGGTATGAGTGATTTCTTCTGTGCCACTGTATATAGTGTACCGAATATCGCTGCTGCACTGCCTACCGCATGACGCAGCTTCAGCGTTGAAGGAGCATCGCTCTGTCCATCTCATTTCAGAGCCTATCCCGGCAACCGGGCCATTGCATCTCAACACACATTCGTATCTCGGTGCGTCCCTTTGTGTCCTTGTACATCCCGTCGTCGGCGCCATTCATGAGCCTGGTCTCTCGTAGTCCGCGTAGAGCATCCCAAGCTTCGCGACTACTCTTGATGACCTTTGCATCTATCCAGCATCCTGACATCGAGTCGACTCCTACTTTTCTCGAGCATCGTCTGTCCGCTCACTCATGCTTTCCCTGCGCTCTTCACTGTGCTCGTATGTGGTGCCGCCGCTGGCTGCGCTGGCGCATCCGGGATCGGAACATCAGAAAAGTCGTCTTGTCCAATAGCCTTGATCGTCCATGTGTCTATCGCGTGTCAGATCCACTCTTGCAATCGAGCTTTCCGGGAGACTCACACACTCCAGCTACAAAGCCGAAGATACAGAGACCAGTTACTGCATTTCTGATCAAGTATGGCTGCCGCGCCCGGTACAGCGCAGCAGTGGGGCGGTTGCGGTTATCGTAGTAGGAAGACTGCGGTAATCTGCCTTGTATTAGCAATTGAGATGACCCGCGGGTTTTCTCATCGCGGAATAGCTACCTTCCCAGAGGCATGATGCTGATGTTGGTGGTGACGTGAACGCAGGTGAAACCTTGGCGCGCGACGCGAGATGTGAACCTCTGCTCCAGCGCCGATCCACACTTTGTTACATCTTCAGAACGACAACAGAGCCTACCGGACAACATCATCGACCACGCACTCCACTCGACGCCTCAACCCAACAGGACGCGCCGACTGCACATTCATCTCTGGCTTGAGCAGCAATGCGCTGCACGCGGCAGCTTTGCGACACGCGCTGGTCACTGTAGTTACATAGCTGCTTCGCTGCTTTCTTCGCCGTCGTGATCTACCTCACCCAGCCGTCACTGCGCTGAGTTGTGGATACCTGCGGTCGCGATGGCATCGCCACCAGCGGCGTCGTCGCAGATGCTGCAACAGCTCAATTCTGCGCGCGAGATCAGCCTCAAAGATCACACGCTATACCCCAAAGTGATACCAGGGATCATTCCGATCATCTCGCAGAGCTCAACGCCCCTCGAGTTGCGGAGATGGGGCGCAGACTTTCTGGCGGAGACGTTCGCGTCCCAGGCGGTAACACCGGACGAGAAACAGCAAATGTCCTTGGGCGTGCTTGACACGCTGAAGGGCTATCTGAACAGGAGAGAGTTAATGGGCGAAGATGAGGACAAGAGTGTTGTGAAGAGTGCTGTGCAATGCGCCGCGAGCATATACCCGCACGTTTTCAGACACACGGTCAGCAATACGGCCGACAGCGACACATGGGGCAAGGTAGCCGCGATTAAAAGCAGCATACTGCGCAGAATGGACACTGCGCCACCCGGAGTGCGCATATGTTGTATCAAGTTTGTCGCTGCTGTGGTGCAGACCCAGACACCGGGCATGATAGCAGATCCACGGCGGCCAGAAAACAATGAGATCAGTCTAGCATTGGTCCCAAGAGATCATCCTGTGATTCCGCCTGCCAACCTGGAAGCAGAAGCATCGGGACTTCTGGATAGACTTCTTGGTGTGCTCCAGGACAACTCAAGTGATCCACTTATCATTACTGCCACGCTCAATGCGCTCTCCAATTTGGTGCATCGACGTGCGAGCATATCAAGCAAGATTCTCTCTGCGATCCTCGCTTTCATCCCGCCGACTCCACCAAGCGGGAGCATCAAAGATAAGCTCTCGTTCAAGAGCATGACGCGAACAGCTATGTCTTTTGTCCTCAATTGCATCAAGAGGAACCCAAATGGCCCGTTCGGCCCCCGATTACAGCAACACCATGAACGGTTGAAACACAATCTCAATGCGGTGCTCTCAGAAAACCCACAACTCAAGCGAGCAGCGCCGGACGAGCCGATAGATGGCCTGGACGACGCTAAACGCCAAAGGCTCAACAAGGACGCCACGAATGGAACCTCAATATTGCAACAACAGACACCTTCTTATGCGGCCTTACCAGCCGGTCCCATATCACTAGCACAGCTGTGGACACTGACCACCAACCAGAATGCTGCGTCGTTTCATGTCGAAAGAGTGCCACGTGACAGCGTGATACAACTTGTTCAGGCGCTGATACCTTCTATACCGGATGATAAGCTGTCAATGGCCGTGAACATCATGCGATCGCGTTTGCTGAGCCTGAACAAGGCTAGCGACAACGCCAAGGGACCACCAGCCGGAGCGATTGGGGCCAGCGATGAGCGTCCGAAAAACGAATATCCTTCTGGTGAAAGTGAGCAAGTGGCCAACAGACTCGATAACGCTCCTCCGGAAGGGCCTGATGGTGACGTGGCGATTGGTCCCTTCAGTCTACCTGCACCTCCACCCCTATCGAGCCAGGAGAGGGAGGAGTACTCTTCCATGGCCGTGCAACGAGTTTTCGCAACACTATCAGACTTGGATAGAGAAGCTAGAACCAAGGGCAAGCCGGTCCTGTCACAATATGGCCTTAATCGCCTTGCAACGACAGCAGCCATCGGGCATGATCGAGATGGATGGATAGTGATGGCTACAAGGCTGGCCACTCGAGCCTCCTTCGACCTCGAGGGGGATCAAGCTATCGTCAAGACAGAGGACTACGATGGCACGCTGATCAAGAAAGGCCACAAAACTACACTAAATTATGCTTTGCGAGCGGCTTTGCTCACGTACGTGATGGAGAATTTTCGAGCCCGCATTGATGCAGCCATCATCTGGTTGAATGAAGAGTGGTATTCCGAGAAGCTTTTGCAGAAGCAAAGACAGGACGACGGCGAGGACGTGGAAGATGACGACTTGCCGAATTACTGGCATTGGACGCTGCGTTTACTGGACATGATGATGCCGTACTTCGACGTCAAAGACGGACGCGTGCTTATTAGGCTGCTCTCCGAAGTGCCCGCCGTGAACCGAGCCATCTTTGATCGAGTCAAGAAGATCGCCGAAGATCCAGAGCGGATCTTGATAAGCACGAATGCGCTGCTATATCTAATCATGTTTCGGCCGCCAGTGCGGCAGATGGCCATTGATTGTGCCGAGGAAATGTACAGGGAGAATAGCGACGCGAGATCAGCGGCGAAGAAACTTCTTGCAAAATGGAGGCCAGGCGTGGTGGAACAGGCAGGCGCTGCTGAAGCGTGAGGAGGAAGGAATCTATGAGGCAGCATCCGGATGATCATGATTGCGAGAACAGCATGCTCGCAGCTTTGTGTATCAGCGATTATTTAGAGAGTGCTGCGTGTGGACAAGCTCTACTAGTAGTGACTAGTGAACCAATGTTGCAGCCACACGCTATTGATCACCGCGTGCAGAGCAAGTCCCTTTCACGTCATGGTGGCTATTTTTTTGTTTGTCCAATCGCGTCCACGGGGCAACCACAACTTGCGACGGAAATTATTATAGTAGCAATGGCCTCGCCAAACGCTCGCGCGACCCATCTCTCACTAATGCAGGTCCACCGGGCAGTCCACCGTCACATCGTACGCACACCTGCCACGCCGACTTCTCCAGTGTCGCCGCTGCCCACATGCTGCCGCTTGAGTTGTTCCTCCCATGCGCGTGCATGCCTGGCTCAGCCCGAATTCACCGCAGTCCCTGTCATTGTCCATCTGCAACCAGCGTAGCCGCCCACGGCCGGAGCCATTGAGCGCACAGCATCGCCTGCCATGAATGGCTCTCCTCAGCTCAGCAGCTCCCCAGAGGAGACGCGCAACATGGGAAATGGAAATCTGCTCACACCCTCGCAACAAGGCGGCCCACGGCGCGGGAGTGGTGGTCTTCCGGCGCGGAATCGTGATGCTTCACCACATACCAACGGGAACACGCATAACCAGAACGCGCCGCCCTCTCCACGGTCGCCATCGACGGACACCAGCCAATGGAGCTCCGCCGTTGGCCATGCCACGACTGGCGGGAAGTCAGGACGTGTGATTGAGAAGCTCATGGCTGACAATGATCGTCTCAAGCGTGAGCTCAAAGAGCAAGTGATCAAAGCGGAGGAATTGCAACGAAGTGTTCAGATGTTCAAGCCTCGAATGGAATCGATTCAGGCCGAGAATGATAATTTGAGCCATCTCAGAGACGTGGACTCCGGATTATTGTCCAGACGAGAAAGAATCATACAGGAATTGAAGGCAGACTTGGCAAAAGAGAGAGAACGAAGCAAGGCCTTCGAGGATATGGCTCAGCGAAGTACTGCGGAAAGAGATGAAGCGGTCGAGGAGAAGCGAAGGGATCTGCAGATGATGGCGGAGCAGACGAAACATGCCCAACTTCATACAGAGATCCTGGAGAATAGTCACAGACAATTGAATCAGCAATACAAAGCTCGCGTAGAAGGTATCCGGACGGAAGTGCTGCAGTTGCAGCAAGAGAAAGAAGAAGACCGCAGGCGCTTGTCCAAGATGGACGTGGTATCAGATCAGATGCGACAGGAACTGGAACGGACAAGAAAGCTGCAAGCGGAGCTGGTGACAAAATGGGAGGAGCTACAACAAGAGAAACAAGAGCGATTCCAGGAGCTTGAGAGGGAGGCGAGAGAGGAGAACGAGAAGACACGGAAGCTCAGCGTTGAAATGGATCAAGTCGTGAACCAGATGCGCTGGGTGATGAACGTGAAGCGGAACACCAACTTGGATGGCAGCTAGACGCGGCATGAACCCATCTCCACATATTTTTCTTTGCGATTTAGCGGGCGTCATGGCATTCATGAGAAATGACATTGATATCACGATACTGGCTTGGCCATTTGCCGACTGGAGCCAGGCTAGAGACTCTTGACAGTTGGGTTGGTTCGAGCAAGCAAGCGTTGGGCGCGAGGGGGTAGGGCGAGATACGAAACATAGATTAGACGGGTATCTTCACGAAGACTCGCAGGCCGTCTCTGGCACTCCGGCGCGTTCGCGACACTCTCATTCACGAGCAACTAAGCAGCGGCCAGCAGCGACGCGAGGCAGCGCGCGAGCGCGCCTGCCGTTTTGATCTCATGCTGTGCCGTTGCGCCTTCCGCACCTCGACCAGGGCAAACAAGTAAAGTCGCCGACCAGCGCCGCAACAGTACCATTGCTTCTTCACTCACAAACGCACACGCCCGGAACCTACACACCAGCCAGGCCTCGCCGCAATCATGGCTGCAGACGTTGCGCAATACCTGCACGCCACTTTGTATCGGTTCAACGAACAGGCCAGGGCTGAGGTCGTGACTCGATTTCGCAAGGCAATTGGGGATGACGAGATCAATATCTCCTACTCGTCCATCACTGACGTATTCTTTCTTCAATGCGATTCTCAGCAAGGCGCCGCGGCCGACTTCGAGCTCAATCGAGTCATCAATGAATACATCAATGAGGAAATCCAAACAGCCGAGAAGGAAGATGTAAGCGGGCGCCGTCGAGTCCGTGATGGGTCGCTGGTTGACACTGATTGTGCACAGCGTGTACCTCATATCGTTCGCTTCCCGGAAAGCAACTTCGATGACCTGGCCGTAGTGGACGAGGGCAAAGAGCGACCTGATAGTTCACGCCTCGCGCGACAACCACGAAGCTCTATTCCTCGCACGCAGATTGTCATCGCACCGGAAGACGAAGCAAAAGTGGTGAAGTTGTTCCCGCTCCACGAGCTTCAAGCCCATGGGCTACTGGAAAGATGTCTGGCGTCACTCACCAACAAGTCCGAGACGCTTCTTAACACAGGCCTCGTTTGTCGCGCGGCGCGATGGTGTCCGCAAGACGGTCACATCTTCAATGGACGTACCGCTGGCCGCAGCTCCGTGTCAGTCTCCGAGCAGACCTTGGACCTGCCCCCCTTTGGGATTTTTTTTGACCGCAGAGAAGGAGTGCAGCTCCTTGAGCCACCAAACACCAATCGAGAGGAAAACACTACCGTCAAACAGTGGCTCGAAGGCATCGGCCAGACGCGACAGGGGCCATTGGACGCCAGCGTGGACATCCCAAAGGACGCGAAGCAACACTTAGCTTCGGCTCAAACACACACTGGTAAGTTATGCTGCCGATAAAGATGCTGCCCATGTAGGATTTCACAGTTATGCTAACAAAACACCAGCCGGACGTGCTCGTGTGGTGAAAGGCTTAGCTATCGTGCCAGCCGATCAGGCTTCTGACAAATCGGGAGAATCGTCAGAGAGCGAAAGTGACGACGATGACTTTGCAGCGATACTCCAACCAACGTCCACTCCGAGCATGGTCCCATTCAGGGAAACAAGCAAGAGGCAAGCTCTAAACACTGGAGATAGCGCGAAGCATCACCCGTCGCTACAAGCCTCTGCCGTAAACACCAGTAACGGTCCTTTGTTACGCGATCTCAAGAAGGAACACATCGTTGGCGATGTTCATTCTTGCGGAACGTCTGTTCTACACGATATGAGCATGCTTGTACCAGAACGCAGTATACTGAGCCACGAAGGCCGCTCTACTGCGCCTTCCACACGAGCTGTGAAACTAAGAACGAGTCAGGAAGAGCAGAATTCGGAGCAGGAATGGGCCACAGACAAGACACATGCAAAGGTTGATCCGATTGGGCTGTTATCTAACCCAGCGAATACTGCACGGTGGCAGAATGAGAATTACGTCGCTGTGGATCGCAAGAGCAAAGCGAAGGAAAGCCGACTGAAACCCCGAGGCAAACAGCTGGCGGACTTGTCGTCAATCGCTGAGACTCGTCCTCACTTACGAGGCGCAGACCCCAGCCACTCATTCGACCCCCGAGGCGACACGGGCACAGGCTCAGACCTGGCGAGCTCTGCAGCAAAGGAACAGGCTAACCGCGACGCTGAAGGTGCGGCTGTGCCCTGGTCGATGTCAGTCGCTCACACATGGCAGAAGACTGGCCGACTGATTGACCCTGGGTCTCCGGAGCCAGGCTTGCAATCAGTCAACGTGCCTCCAGGACTGAAAGGAGGGCCGGAAACTCATCAGGAACAGCACAAAGAGGCATCGACAGGCGTGAACACCACTGGTATTCTTGTTGAGTTCGGAGAAGTCGCAGACCAGGATCGTGCTGCGCAAAATCCTGTCCAACCAGCACCACAGTTGCTTTCAGGATCCCGCCCTCCACTTCAGCAAGGGCCTGGAGACCTCGATGCGTTTCAAGTCGGGTCAGCACGTGGAGACCAAGGAGAGGATACAATCGTCGAGAGCATCCAGCGGCTGCCCAAGAACTACGCCAAGCGGCACAACACGATGCGGCAGAAAGCTGGAAAGAACGTCAAAGGCAAGAAGGGCAAAAAGATGGCCGCAGACCAGAAGTTCAAGGCACAGTTGGAGCTGCCCGATCCTGTGCCAGCCCCGAAGAGAAAGCAGCATATCCCGGGAATCGCGAAAGTCGCCGTGCGAGAGACCGTTACTGGTACCAGTAATGCTCAGACTCCGAGTGATAACACTACACAACCTGCGAGACTGAAGCCGTCGACAAGGATCACGAAGGACAACCATGCGTTCGGTGAACTGCTACAAAGTGAGAAGCAGAAGCAAGAGGCGCATGATGATGACAATGATGCGTCGCCACATCCGCCAAAGTTGATCGCTCGCTTGGGGTTGTTACTGCTTCGCCTAGACGAGAGAAATCAGGAGTTTGACCGTAGCGCCACGGATCCGATCTCGATGCAGACGAGTCTACGCGAGATCAACCCACGCACACATTTCTTGCCGAGATTGACAACTTGCTCCGTTGATGCTGCGAGTCTTATCGACAGAGTACTCGTCATCGGAGATGCCGCAGTATCTCAGTTTTCGTCCTCGCGTTTTGAGCTCATTATTCGGGAAACGGCCACAGGAAAACTCTTGAAACTCACACTCTCCGCAACAGAGCAGGACGGTGAGCCCGGGCAATATACTGTCAAGGCAAATGAGCATACACGCCTGGGAGAAGCATGCTGCCACCTCGTTGCGCATGTGTGGGATGCGCAGGTGTCTCTTGTGCAGCCTGCCCCGGATTATGCATTTCCGTCGCCAGAAGCCATCAACGACTTCATTGCATCGATGGCAACAGATGAGACGCCGCCCTCTTTTCGAGCGCAGACATCGAACGGTGTCTTCACACTTGAGAAAGTGCTCGCAAAGCGTATTATCGAGATTCAAAAGCCAGGAATGTCGTTCCAGCTGTGCGAGATCCAAGATCTCGTGACCGAGTATCAGGACCTTGGCAGCTACAACTTTCGTGCGTTGGCACGGTCGCGGGAGGAGATGATAGAAGAGCAGAGATATTGGTTTGAAGCACAGTGGGAGACCACTGACCTCTCGCGAGCCGATGACCTGCAGCTCTATGTGAACGAGACAATTCAGCAGATGGACAACATTGGCCTTAAGAATCAGGGGCCTTACGTTGTGTCACAAGACTACCGCTCAGATGACGAGTCGGAGGTGGTTGAACAGCCTTTCTGGTGAGGGATCTGTTTTTGGACAAGAGAGCTTATTGTGGACTTGAGGAAACTCTGAGACGAGGCGATGTCTATTGACTTGTACAACATACACGTGGACGAAAACAGGTACTGGGGATAGGATAGCTTAATAGCAGTGTGTAACATTGTGAATCTGGAAGCTAGGCTAAGCCTTGTACAGTGTGTCCAAGAACCCGGTCGCAAGATGCTTCACAATACTCTTGTCTGGAATACTGCCAGCAACGCCATATAGCGCCGCTGCGTCACCTTTCTTGGAGGTGACATTGCCCTTGCAAGATTCCACGACGTCCTCCAGATCCTTGATCAAGTCATCAACAGCATTTGAGACTGGCATGGTGACCGCCACGTGTATTGCCGGTGGATCTTGCAATGCATTGAGATGCCACCCCTTGCTCGACATCGCATCAGCGATATCGTAAATGTCCACGTCCAGATGTGGTGTGCTGTGATTATCCTGCGCTCTGAATGCGACAACTGATACCATCGGCTTGCCAATGACCGCAATGCTGTGTCGCAACTTATCCGAGCTTCGAATAGCATCTTCGATCTGCTTGGCAGCAGAAACGATCTTCAAGCAGGTGTTGACATAGCCATCCTCGCCTAGGCGCATTAAACTTGCCCAGCATCCAGCAATCAGTGCGCCAGGTCGACTTCCTGCCATGTTCGGCGAAGCATAAACGCCGCCAGTCCAGTCTGGGCAGACGTAGTATTGGTACTTGCGCATCTCGGCTGAGCGATAGAGTACCACGCTGTTTCCTTTTGGGGCGAATCCATACTTGTGTGTGTCGACGCTGATGGACGTCACACCTGGGAGGCGGAAATCGAAATCGGGAGACGGGAAGCCTGCCTTGGAGAGAAAGGCGATCACGAATGATCCGAGGCAGCAGTCGACGTGAAGGGGCAACTTGTACTTCACAGCCAGTCGCGACAACGCGGGAATGTCGTCCACAATTCCGTGAGGGAAATTGGGCGCTGATCCAACAAGGAGAATCGTGTTTGAGTTGATGAGGCGTCTGACCATTGACACATCGACTCTGTAGCTTGGTGCAGGACAGTCTACGAGATGCAGCTTGATCTTGAAGTATTCGCATGCTTTGCGGAAAGCCGTGTGTCCGGTCTTTGGCAAGATCATCTCCGGCTCCGTCACCCCTCGTTCGTGGTATGCCTTTTGCCTTGCCGCGAGGACTGCGACAAGAATGCTTTCCGTGCCGCCAGACGTAGTCACTCCCGCACCGGTGTCTGCTGGAGCATTGAAAAGTCCCAATGTCATGGCCACGACCTCAGCCTCCATCTTGCGCACACCTGGAAATACGTCTGGGTGTATGGGGTTGCTCACACCGAACATTTTGAAAGCATCGCCCTGGAGCTCTGCCAGTTCGTCTCCGCCATGGTATACTGCGCCGCTGACTCTGCCATCTTCCCACCTGGTGTGATCCATCCCGCCCAACCTTTCCAACTCGGCACGCACTTGTTCGGGCGTCCATCCTTGCGCTGGCAATGCTTTGTAGTTGATCACTCCAGGCCCGCTCGGTACGAGTTTGTTCTGCAAATCTGTGATCGCCTTCTTGACGTCTGCTTGGACTTTAGCCTGTACGAAGGGCAGGCTGAGGAAGACGCTGTACAATCGTCGGTAGACATCGCGGTATAAAAGCTGGATCGAGCCGACGATGCCGTAGCCACGCAGCCGGAGTAGTGTCTTTCGTGTTAGTCGGAGGAGGAAGAGCGCGAGGAGCAGGTTGCGCAAAGCGTCGACGCTCTGAGATACGATCAATTGGCGACCCTTGGGTGTTCTGACGTTGTACTGCTTGCGCAGCTGAGGAGAGAGGAGCGCCATGACTGGTGCAGTAGACGGCTACGATGTCGCTTCAGTCACAGCAGAAGCATGATGATGTGACATTATATCGCCACTGTCTCGTTGCGTCTGGTTTCATGGTCAACATTCAAGATTCAAGGTCAAGGGTGGATGCCGCGGACAGCGCGGTCGCCCCACCGGACGGAGGCTGTCACATGCCTCCATTTGCCGATACCGAACAATGCATCACTTCTACTGGCCTTCGACAGCTGCACTATACTTCATCGCGATATGGCTCACAAGTGCTGTATAGCCTCGAGAGCGAGAACGACGGCCCTGCCAGCATGATCGTTGCGGCCAATCGACTCGAACCAGTGCAATGCTAGCTACTCATGCAACACCTCTGCACTACAATCCGGTCTTTGGAGCAAGCGGTCATCCTGTCGAGAGAGAAGCTGCAGCCTGGAGTGACAAAGAATTTGCTGTACAAGCACAAGCACATCGATTGAGGCTCTAACACAGGATGAGCTCAAATCGTTATTCTCACACCAATCTCTGAGGGAATGACCACTCACCATGTTTTCTTCCATTCCAGTACAGACTCATCTCTTTTCTCACACTGCGACAAGCGAAAGTTGCCATGAAGGCTCTGGTGGTGGCGATGATTGCATTCGCACAGGACATCAAACAGCAGGAATCAACCGTGCAGCCATTTCTTAAGCCCGTGTCGTGCTTTCCAGTTCACAGGAGCTGCCTTGAACTTGCCATAGACTTGGGTGTAGCAGACAGATGTCACCACCTTGTGCTTGTCGTACAGCTGACCTCTTACCACGATACGCGCAGGCCACGATTGGCACGGAACTTCCAGCACAGCATTACTTTGACGAAGCCACTACTGCACACAGCGAGCGCAATGGCACATCGGATTTGTTGCCCATCTCGGCGATCAGAGGAATTGACACCAGAGCTTCCATGCAGAGCACCGATGACCCTTGATGGAACGTTAACATTTGCCTTTCTGCCAGAGGACCACCCACATGGCAGAAGGTTTCATTTATCGCCAGTCGACATGGGCATATTGAAAAGCCCTCGAATCACAGACAAGATCAGATTGAAAATGAGCAAGAAAAGCTCCAGGACGTTGAAGAAAGAGCTCGATCGACTGGCCGAGCCTCCATACAACGAAGACGCTCATATTTTGACATCCACCGAGGTCCTCGAGATTGCCGGGCCCGGCCAACTGGGCATCGATGGGACAAGAGACTTCAATCACAGCAGCGACCATGTGCCTCCCAGGACCACACAACGCTTTGGAAGCCTAGACTTGACCGCAGGCGAATCTACTGGTCGTAACATTGTCAGCAGCCCATCCATCTACTCAAGATCGCAAAGCAGAGTCGAAGAGGCGCCACATCAGGACATTGGCACACCAACGGGGAGAAAACTTGCCAGCGCTGCAGACACGCAGGGCATGTCCTATCGCAGCATTCTACCTCGCCAGCCATCAATGACCACGCTCACGTTTCCACGCTCGCACTCACGACAGCTGAGTAACATGCAGCCACCGCAGCCTATCAGCAAGCACGCCCATCACTTCAGCGTGCATTCGAGAACTTGGAGCGGCTCCACAGAAAGCACCATCTTGCGCAGATTAGAGCAGTCCGCCTTTGATTGTCCGCCTGATTCAAGTGTCGTGGCTGAGAATCGTTGGTCGCCGCCTACCAACAAGCACAAGCTCAGCGCGAAGGTCAGTGGCTAGGAGTCGCTGCACAAGGAGCGCCTGTAACGGGTGCCCGGTTGCTGGCAAGAACAATGCTTGATTACGCTTCACGAAAAGCCGCAACATGCAAGATGGTCGCAGGGGGTTCACCGTGATTCTGGACGGAAAACAGGCGTAACATGGGCAGAGGAGTAGGTGGGATGCGGGACAGAGCAATTTGTGCAGAAACATCGTGAGTAGACTAGAGAGTCTATTTTGTGGCATTATTGGAGTACGAGCATTGTATCCAGACTTTGAGCTATCAAACTCATGCAATGGTCAAACGATGACAAAGTGCATTGTCAGTCCTGATCTCGCCCGAGCTCGAGCTCGAGACCTGTTGTCATTCTCTGACCCCAAAGTGAATCGTGGCATCGGACATGCCGAATTGCTTTAGATGACCTTGTAACGACCACCGCCACCAGAGCGAGCCTCTGCTTCTTGGGCTTGGATCGTGCCCTCAGTCAAATGGCGAGACAAGTCGCGCATTGCCGACTGCACAGCAATCTCGGTGTCGCCCTCCACCAAAATGTACAGTTTTGGAGCGTCGTTGGGACCCACCTCTTTGCCTGGCGGATAGTACTCTCCCTTCGAAGTGATGGAAGTGCCCGTTGCCTCGAGGATCTTCGCGACGTTCGTCCGATTCGTGACAGCCCAGCGAGCCTTCTGCGGGAAATCGTTGATCTCCAAGGTGGAATGGAAGGCACCTGCGTCAGGACCGCGGTTGTCGATTGGAGCTCCTGGACGCGTCGCTCCTTTGGTACCCAGACGACCATTAATGGCAGCTGCAGCGGCCGCCGCTTTGGCAACAGGATCGTTGAGGGCAGGGGTATTGGCGGCTGGGATTTCCGTCTTCTGCACCTTGAGCGCGTTGCTCAGATGAGCCGCCAGGTCGCTGCGCATGATATCGCCGGTACTCTTGGGCTTCTCCTCAGACTGCTCGGCCTGTGCATCGCGCTCTGTGACCTTGCCTGCAGCTTTAGCAACAAGCTTCTCGACTTCGGTTTCTTTCTTGTCCTTATCTTTCTTGCCATCGTCTTCCTCGTCTGGCTCGTCACCCGTCTTGTAGAGGTTCTTCTCGCGTGCGCGCTCGGCAGCGCGGGCGGCGTCAAGCCTCTCGATACCATGACCACCGAATCCCGAGCCTGCCTTGCTTGCCTGTCCCGCTTGCACCTTCTTCTTGTGCGAAGCTGCCATCTCTTTGAGTGTTTCCGGCACCTCCTGCTTGCTATCCTCGAGACAGCGCACCAGGAATGGAGCATAGTGTTCTTGCTCTGGTGTCAGGAAGGTCACTGCAGTACCAGTATTGCCAGCGCGTCCTGTACGACCAGCACGATGCACGTAGTCTTCGCCATGATTAGGGGAGTCGTAGTTGATGACCAGCTTCAGTTGCTTTACATCGAGTCCTCTGGCAGCCACCGACGTTGCCACCATAATAGGGATGGCTCCTGCTTTGAAGTCGAGAATAGCTTGGTCGCGATCAATCTGCTCGCGACCTCCATGCACTGAGACACTCGTATATCCCTTCTTGTGCAATTCTTTGAAGATCTGGTCGGCCGTCTCTTGCCGCTCCACGAATATCAGAGATCGCGCGTCCTCGTCCGCTTCGTGTAGGTTGCCAAGCAACTCAAGCACACGTCGGAACTTGGTTTCCTCAGGTCTGACTTCGATCATTTGTGTGATCTCAGCCGCAACAACGCTGCGGCCACCCACGACGATTTCGATAGGTCTCGTAAGAGCCTTCCGAGCAAGAGTTTCCATCTTCTTGGGGAATGTTGCCGAGAACAGTACCGTTTGACGGTCAGGCCGGATGTTGCCCAGTATTCTCTGGATTTGCGGCTCGAATCCCATGTCGAACATGCGATCAGCTTCGTCAAGGACCACATAAGTGACTCGTCGCAAATTCGTGACACGTCCCTGGTTAGCAGCAAGGAGATCAATCAGACGGCCTGGCGTACATACCACCATCTCCGCACCTCGCTTGAGTTCGGCAATCTGATCTTTAATGGGCGCTCCGCCGTAGGCGCAGACACCGCGCAAGTTGAGCGCCTTGAGGTAGGGCTTGCATTCACGGTGAATTTGTACAGCAAGTTCTCGAGTCGGCGCCATTATCAGCCCGATGGGACCCTCCAGGTTTGCTACTGGGCGTTGGTCTTTGATATGCCTGAACATGGGCAGAGTAAAGGCCAAAGTTTTGCCGGAGCCTGTCTTCGCAATTCCAATGGTGTCGCGACCAGACATGATGGCTGGCAGCGCCTGTGACTGAATTGAGGTTGGCGATTCGAATTTGTTTGCCTTGATGACATCCAGAATCTGGGCGCCGAAACCACATTGCGACCATTTCGTGATTGGCTTAGGCTGGTCGATTCCCCGAACGGTGATGTTATCAAGTTCGGCTCTCAAGGTCGTAACGTCCTCTGCGCTCATCTCGGAGACCTCGGCGGACTCGCGGTAGAAATTCTTTTCAAAGTCCTCATAATCAACCTTGCTGTGATCAACCGCCGCAACCTCCTTCTTGTTGCGTTTGCCTCCGCCTCTCAATAAATCTTCCGGATTTTCACCAACAGCATCAAGGTCAGGGCCATCGTCCTCGTCAAAGAGTTGTGGCTCGCGATTGCTTCGCTTTCCAAGACTGCGAGGACGTGGTTGGCGCTCAATATCTTGGTCCAGATTGTTCATGAACGCATCTAGAGGGTCGATGTCTTCGTCCACTTCCATCGCTTCCGCTTCGTTTCCAGCTGCTTGGCCGTTCTGCTCTGAGCTCTTAGCATCAGCCATTGCGATGTCCTGTTGCTCAGCATGTGCTTCCTCGGCCCGCTTCTGAGCTGCCAGGCGTGCTGCCTCAGCCTCTTCCTCGTCACTACGCAGCTCGTCATGATCGTCATCGTCGTGTTCGTCGTCAGCACCGTCGGGCACGGTAGACCCATCAGTCGCTTCGAGGGCAAGATCAGGAAGTTTCCTAAACTTTCGCTGCTCGCCCTCATCCTCATCCAAAGCATTGCCGGTCTTGGACACATTTAGCTTATCTGGTTGTCTCTCATTTGCAGCCTTGTTGAGGCCGAAACCAGTAATTTTGGCATCAGCTGCGCCCAATACTACCGGTTTGGATGGAGCGCGTTTTGCGATTGAAGCACTGTCCGCGCTAGTACCTGCAGGAATGGCGGCATCATCGCCCAGAGTGGCATTTGAGACCTTCGATTTCTTGTCAATTTGCTTCTTAATGGCTTTTGGGTCGAACTTGGGCTGAGATGCTGATACGGGCGTGGATGGTTGCTGACTGCTCGTTGGGGATGCGATGTCGGCGGTTGTTGGAGTCCCATCACCGGCGGCAGGCTTGCCGGCTTTTGCTGCTTTCCAGGCCTGGACTCGGGCGAGCTTCTCTGCTTGAGCTTTCTTCTTCTCGGCCTCTTCGGCAGCTCTAGAGGGGGGTCTCGAGCCATCGCCGTTCGCGGTTCCTGGTCGTGAGGATGTCTGTACACTCAGCGGAGTCCTTAGCACAAAACGTTGAAAGGCACATACCTCGCTGCGTCCCGGAGAATCGGTTCTCTTGCGCTTCGATTGCCTGTCGTCGTTACCGTGCCTATCGTCGCCTTCGCGCGGACGACGACGTCCATAGTCTCTACTGTCTCTCACCGGAGATTGTTGTCGTCTCGAATGGTGTCTGTGATCCCTTGACCGCTCGCGGTCCGGAGACTCTCTGCGATAGCTGCGATCATCGCGTGGGCGCCTCTCGTATCGGTCACTGCCGCGATCTCTCCTATCCCAATCGCGTTCGCGCTCTCGGTCACGCCCGTGGCCATCGTAGCGACGCTGTACACTGGTCAGCGAGTATCGAAGGGGTCCGGTTCGGGGGTTTCTCACATCTCGACTGCGGTCACGGTAGCGGTCGCGATCGTCACGCCGGTCGCGCGCGTAGTCGCCCCTGCGGTCTGGTGAGCGGGCCATGATCCGGCCTCAGGAGTCGTCCGGCGTCGTACCCGCACACTCCTTCGTTTCCACAATGTCTTGATGTCCGCCCAGTCCTCCGCTACCAAAAGCCGCAACCAAATTCTGATTTCTGTTTCTCGCCCAAGTCGCCGCACTGCCGCTGCCGCCGCCGCAGATTCTGTCCAGTCTTACCTTGTAAAGAAGATGCACACTGAGATCCAGGTGTGCTGAGGGTGAAGCGACAACAACAACGCCCGTGGTCGTGTGTGCCGGGGCCCGACGAGGTGACGATGGAGGTGCTCGGCTGAGAAGCACACGACACGGCAAGTCGGCGGGCAAGACGCATGGTTGCCAAGATTTGGCGCTAGTCTGTATGGAGCTTTCCGAAGCTTGCTGGCCGCATGGCTGGTAAGGTAGCTCGCGCGCGATCAATGCGATACTAGTAAACAGTACAACAACACCGATACCACTACGCAACACCGGCTCTCTCGCCGCCACCGCCGCCACTACACCGGCGCAATGCTCACGCGCGTGGCGTTGCGCTTCTCTGCGCGCTCACGACTGCCAAATGTGCTGCCCCGTTGCAATCGCGCAGTCCCCAGCCCCCTCGTCCTTCCGATCAGAACATATGCAACGCCTGGCCGGCCCAAGAGCGTTGTTGGCGAGCCGTCACGTCCGGTAAAACGCGCCGTCAAGAAAGCTGCATCGAAGCCCCGCGATGGTACCTCGGCCGCAGAGAAGAAGGTCGCGGCCAAGAAGCGCAAACCAGCCGCCAAACGAGCAGTGACGCCTGAGGAAGCAGCGCAGAAGGCCGTACGTGAAGCTGCTCGCAAGGAGAAGGCCACAGAGCGCAAAGCAGCTGTCAAGAAGAGGACAAAGCTCCAGGATCTTAAGGCCACTGCACTGCCCGATGCTCCCAAGAAGACAGCCTTTCCCTCGGCATACCTAGCGTACTGGGCAGAAGCTGTCAAGGAGAGGAAGGCAAATCAAGGCGTCAAGGAGCGCGTCAAAGAAGCTGCTACGGAGTGGAAGCAAAAGTCTGCCGCAGACATCGAGGTACAAGGTCCCCCATTTCTACCGCTGCCACCCCTCTGACCATAACTTGCAGCACTACAATCACTTGGCACGCACGGCCAATGAAGCCGCAGCAGCAGAGTACAAGCGATGGATCTCATCGCATTCACCAAACGAGATCCGCCTCGCAAACCTGGCTCGCGCTCAATTGCGTCGCCAATACCCCACGCAAAAGGGGAAATGGGCGGAGCTATCTGACGAGCGTCGTCCAAAGCGTCCAACAACCGCATATCTGAACTTCGGTATTGATCGACAAAGCAGCGGCGACTTTGCCAACATCAAGGTCACCGAACGTAGCAAGCTCATCAGTCAGGAATGGAAGGCGCTCAGCCAGAATGAGAAAGATGTACGTCTAAAGTTCCTCTGCTCATTCATATCGTGTGCTGACGTTTTACAGAAATATCAGCGTTTGTTCGAGCAAGACAGGCAACGTTACGAGGAAGAACAAATCCAGGTGTATGGCCAAGCCACACCACGACGCAGCAAACCCGCCGTAGCTGCAGCTGCCGCTTGAGTCTACTTACGCCAATCCCGATTTGTAAATGTTCGCGACAGTTCGCAATAAGTTCACGACCTTGATTACGCGTGTGGGGGAATCTATATCTGTTTGTCGATGCTGCTCGACACCGCGAGGTGTCCTTGTAATGATGATCGATTTCCATTTGTCGTTTGCCGCTGGAGGAGTGAGCGACGAGGAGACATACTCGGGCTGTATGTTGTTGGAGCCTTTGCGTGCCATGCTTGACACAGTGAAAAGGTGTGGCAGGTCGCGCCTGTACCGCGTGTACCATAGCGGCAGAATCTCTCGTGTAACAGTAAATAGCAGCAACCACATGACCATTCTCCTCAGAAGCACATGCTCTCCTTCAGCAGGTCCGAACTCAGTGCACAGGGACACAGTATCGAAAAGTGGCGCTTCAAGGAAACTGTCGCATCGAGCATATTCAAAACCACACCAAGCATCATCCATTGTTACAGCTGGGGTATATCGTACAATAAGCTCTCGAAGCTGCTGAGCACTCAAAACTGTTGGTATCTCTGGACAACACAGCACGCCCGCCATGCTGAAGCTAGCGCCCAATTTCCTGTCCACAAAAAGTCTGCCAAGTAGGTACAAGAAATGAAATAGTCCTCGCGTCTTATTGCTTCTGCAGTATCCAAGAGCGGATGGCCATGGAGCAAATCCTCTGGATGACCTGTGTGGTGCCTCTTTGGTCTTCTGTTTCCACGAACTGTTGAGCGACCCGCAGCTTGCCAACCGGGTCGTTGGGGTCGTTACTCGACGGCACGAGGTGCCGCTGTGGATGCCATTCAGGTATGCGCCCTCCCAGGTGCCGCGCTACCGCTAATGAGTACAGAACATCGCGGTTCTCTAGCATGTGGAGAAGATTGCGCATGGTGCCGAGGGCATCATCGATTTCCCTCTGCACATTCGTAGTGTCGTCTCGGATGGCCACGAATCTAGCAAGCTGATGCCAAAAGGATCGCTCGTTGAACTTCTGATTGACCACTGCACTGTCGCTTCCGGGTGGCATTGGAGGTTGCTGCTGTGGAGGAGGCGTCACGCGGCTTGGATCCAGATACTGTCCTGTGAGAAGGTTTTCCACGATATCCAGCCGAGGAAGCAGCTCTTGCACAGCTAAGTCATTCGCGGCGCCATTGGTCATACGGTGGTAGGCGCGAGGCATGCTGGCTAGCAGCCACACCAAGCGCGCTTCTAGTGACTGCGTCTGTCTGGCGTTCGCATCTTCTCGCGTTTTGAATTGCTCGACGCACTGCGAAACGAAGTCCTGGAGAACGGCATCGCGCTGGAGATGCAACGGGCCCTGCTGCGAGTACCAGGTTGTTTCAAACAGGCGGTCAAGTCCTGCGGCATAGTGGTACTTGAAGAACGTCTCTGTTTCCTGTTGACTGGCCGGAGACGAGGGAGGAGGCGCCTCGCGCAGGTTGCATTTTGGCGGGATGTCGTTGAGTGAACAGAGCTCTTCTACGGGTACCACACGCACTGCGATGGGACCAGTCAGACATGGCGGGATGGTGAGGGAACCGGTCAGTGCTTACCTCGCCGCGTCGGCTGTAACGAGCTGGGGTAGTTGTTGTTGTGATGTGGTGCCATGTGCGGGACGTGTTCGCCACCGGCCAGTGCTGGGTCGAGGGGCGCGGCGTGGTTGTAGTGAGATTCAAAATGGGGCTGTTCGCCGTGAGGCATGCCGGCAGCGGGGATGAAGTTGCCTCCAGCGCCTGGGAAGGCTGGTGGCGCGCCGTACTGGTTCGACGACACGTGGGAGCCGGAGGCGGAAGCAGACGTAGGTGGTGTGTTGTGCACGCTGGGCGCGGGCTGAATGTTGGCCGGGCTGGGCTGCTGCTTGAAAATGGGGTCGTAGCCCAGACACTCGCGCTTTGATTTTTGGCAGTTGCGACACGTCGGCAGGCCCTCGTCACACTATCTCACGGTCAGTATATAATAGGTTTCAGACGGAGGCTGGCGGTCGTGTGTTTGAACAAGGTGTCGCTTGTTTTTTAGGCCCTCGCTTATGGGCGCAGCCCGCTGCAGAACGCGACCTCGCACCTCGCACAGCACCACGACACGCTCGGGGGCGCGCATCGCACTCACCTTTATGCGCCGCTTGCGACAGGTCAGGCAGCCGGTCTTGGTGCGTCGCTTGATCTCCTTCTTGTGTCGGCCGCCCGACATCTGGCGCGCGTCGAGCTGGGGCTGCGGGGGCAGAGGGTAGCGCATCACTCCGTTCTGGCCGTTCGGCGCGACATTGGAGGGCATGGGCGCGGGCGGCGGGTACTGCTGGTGGTGGTATTGCGGCGGCGGGTAAG